AGAAAATGACAGAAAACCCGACAAACCTTGCAAGATTTATATGGAAACAGGACAGTCAGAAGGATCACTCCGCCTCGGTGGATCATATGTATTCCTTTAGCAAAACAATAAACATGTCGTCTAGTTTACACTCTTTGTTTAAATATATACATTTCGAATCACTACAAAAAAAATACACTGCTTGCTACTCATAGTGCAAAGACCACAACTATTTTGATTGGGAATAAAAAAAAAAGAAGATGTTATGAGTATTAAGATAACAATATTTTCATACTAAGAAAACAAATTAGCAACCTTTTGGAGATGCAGGTTTATTAAGATCAAATGTCGTTCATCTCACAATCTCTACATACCCAAAATTCAAGATGGGGGCTTTGGCCGTGAGATTGATCTTAATAAACTCACTTTTTAAAAGAGAGGAAGAACCTAAATATAACATTTTTGGTTTCTTGAATATTTGAATATAGTGTAGGACGAGGTCCAAGTGATGGGTAATGGCGGTTCACTTGGTTTGTCTGATGTTCTTCAAAGTTCATGTGGCTGATGTTTGCTTTTAAAGTTCGGCCTGAAACTTGGTTCATCAATGGTCAAACACTGAAACAACTTCATCAAACATCCAATTTGTATTAATGGATCAAATTACATGCCTACCATCACTGTTTTGTTTCTAAAACATGTAAAAGTTCACTAGGGGTGTGTGTCCTGTCAAAATAGTCCTTAAACTAGAAAGGAATGAAACTATCTTCATCGAATTACAAAATTGGGACCCCTGGAAGAAATTGAAAACGAAAATTCTATTTGATCATTGACATGATTATGGCTAGAGGAAGCAGCTAAGAGGTCCTTTTTGGAGGAGACATGTTACTGATGAGAGAAGTAGTTGTGCTGATGGCAAATATTTGTACCAGGAACGCTGTGAAATTTGAAGCATAAATATTAGACTCTTTACCCAACTTTGGTTGTAGTAGCATCACATCAAGAAAGTACAGATACTCACCAATTGCAGTGCGGGTGGCCTCGAGAAGTTCGAACTTCTTTGTTTCCCAGTTACTTGGATTTTGGAAAACCTACTCAGTAATTTCATACAAGACAACAATCAGAAAATTCCGACAAAAACAAGAAAGAACAAATGATTCAAATTTCTAAGTGATAATCAACAGTTATAATAAAGAACTATCTTACCTCTAATGTTAAATTTCCTGTAGCAACACAAGCAATGGAGAGAAGTATTCCAAAAGATGATGCAACAATGTAAACTTTCAACAAACTCACTCGGCTGCGCCTTCGACCTTTGGCACAATAAAAAGTTGTATAACTACAGAAGCAAAAACTGAAGTGACTTGAAAGAAAAATGCAGGATTAGTAACAGCTTACCTAACTCCCCAATGATCAAAGAAATAGAACCAATAGCAACAGATGAAATAGCGATCACATTGGGACCTTCCCCATTTGATGTAAATAGAAATGTGTGTAGGACTCCTATCAATTGAATGACAGCCTGCAGGGCATGAGAGCAAATGCTATCAAAAGAGGAACCTTTTGAAACTGATGGATTGAAAATTAGACTTCATGAATAAATTGAAATGTCAACAACAACTACATATGATAGTTGGATTGTAATATACTAAAGTGCCAACCTCTACCGTCTCATAAAAATATGTTCCCTTATTACTGCCGTATATAATTTGTTCAAAACCTTAACAATGCAGAATTCGTCCAATTGGCTTTAAATGTAAATGTTAACTTAGATCACCAAGACAAGTTTAGTCATAACTGAACCATCCACCTGCCAGGTAACCCACAAATATTTTACTCAAAATGGTTTGAGTGCGGTTTGAATTCAACCCAATTTTCCAAGGTATCTGTTGTGAGTCACCCAATACAGATTTTCCCTATCTAACACAACCCAAATAAGAGGCTACTTGACACAATAAACGAATTAGGTTTTTTACACAAAAGAAAAAAGTTCTATAATTAGTTGCTTGAAAAATTCATGCACAATACTATCACCAGCCTATGCTATGGGGGTAGCCCAGTTAAATGCAAATTCCCATTTAGATAAAGTAATGCAAAATTCAGTGAAAAAAATCCAAACTTTACATCCGGAAATTACAGAGCCAGATTCAATTGAGAGAGACAGTGAGTACCTGAGTGAGAATAAGCGCGGAGAGACGAGATTTTCCTTTAGCTACCTTCTGGTAACCTGAAATTCGATAACCCCAAAACAGACTTTAAATACCCAGTATAAAGAGTTCAGGGACCCAGAGATCCGTTTGGTTGCAGAGAAAATGACAGAAACCAAAAGTAAAAAAAGAAAAAAGAAAACAGAGGGAGAGATAATCTGATTTTAGAGGTGTAGATGATAGAAGCCTACGAGAGTCAACAACCATGCGGTAGTTGAAATCTGAGCCATCCGTTCCAGTAGGCCTCCCTGACGCTGATCTTCTCTGCTGCATCTTCTTCTTCTTCGCTCCTAATCGCGACAGAGCCCTCCCTTTTAAAAAAAAAATCGTATAGCCGGACGGCTGTACTCGGTTTTATGCATGTTTCTTAAAAGTAGTATAGCCCTGCGGCTATACTCTTTTGACACGGCAACTAGGCGCTGTGCGGCTACTTTTTCTTTCATTCATAAATAGTATAGCCGGTCGGCTGTACTTTTCTTATAAATACTATAGCCGCACGGCTACACTTGTTTTGACACGTGGGCACCTAATCGCTAGGGAGCCCTCCTTTTTAAAAAAAAACCGTGCAGCCAGCCGGCTATACTCGGTTTTTAAAAAATAATATAGCCGGTCGGCTATACGTATTTTGACACGTGGGCGCCTAATCGCTAGACTTGTCTTTTTTTTTTTTAATAAATAGTATAGCCGTTCGGCTATACGCGGTTTTATTCATGCTTCTAAAAAGAGTATAGCCGCGCGGCCATACGCGTTACCTAGAACCAGACATGCTCAAAGAGACTATGGTGCAACTAACAATAATCAGCTCAACGATATTCCTCCTAATGTATGTGTGGATCTATTTGGCAGTTGATAATCATTTTCCCCCCTCCTTGTTTCCTAATCTAGAAGATGAAATTGCAGGACGCATCTACACCATCTTTCTAGAAAACCAAAAGCCAAGAAAAAAGATAGTGATGTCGTTATGTCATCAGTCGGACCAGATCAGACTGCAATTCAAGGTTGTTATTGGGTTTGAGAACTCTCTCTCTCTCTCTCTCTCTCTCAAGCGTGATCTCACATTTTTATTTTCAGTATTCATGTGAGTGACTTATTTTGCAAAATCATATTTAGAAGCCATCATTGGACACTTTTGTGAGTCGGTGGAGGATTTCTGTGGTAGAGCTGAAATTTTCAGTGATGATCGGGAAGAAGCTGAGTGGTTATCTATGCCTCTTTCTGATCTTAGAGTGCTTGCAAATGAAATAATGTCTCTTCAAGCAAAGAGGCTTCTACATTGGTCCCTGTAGATTCTTTTGTTAGATTGTTAAGGATTTTAGATCATCAGATACATTGAGCTGAAGGCTTGTCTATAAGTGAATGTGAGCAGGTGAGCTTGTTTTATGTCCTGCATTCTTTCTTGCATATTGTATAGCTGTTGTGGTAGTTTATATGACATTTCTTCAAGCTTTTGTGCTGTTCTTCTTGTTTATATTTTCATTGAAAGTTCCTGCTATTTTTAGTTTTGCTTCTCCATGATTTTTTTTTGGGTCAGATTTTAGAATCTCCATGCTAGTAATGATGTTACTGAGGTGCCTTGCAATATATTGATTGTTTTAACTTTCATCTTATAATGGTCTTGTTATCTGAATCACTGTTTGTCTGACCCTATGTTTTCCTATTTATCACCATATTTGGGCAGAAACATTAGGGACATAAAAATAATTACGGAGAAAAAAACGTTTGAGCTCCACCTCCACCTCCACCTCCACCACCACCTCCACCACTTCCACCTCTACTTCCACCACCATCACCACCTTCATCTCCACCTCCACCGTCACCACCTTCACCACCACTTTCATCTCAACCACCACCACCACCTTCACCTCCATCTCTACCCCCACCTCCACAACCACCACCAGCACTAGCACCTCATCCTCCTCCATCTCCACCTCCACCTTCATCGTCAACACCAGCACCACATGATTAGCACATAACAGTTTCAACATTATGTTTATTTGAGTCATTAAAATTTGAGTAATGCTATTTGGACACACAACATTGACATACTTAGTGACACCCGCTGATGTGTCAATGTATCATTTGCTCTTCTTTTCTCCTCGTTTTCTGTTCAGCGAATGATACATTGACACATCAGCGATTGTCAACTAAGTGTGTCAATGTTGTGTGTCCAAATAGCATTACTCTTAAAATTTACCAAACAATTTTGACACTGTTCTACTAACATCACTTTAAAAATATTGTTTACCAAACATAAAACTGCTTTACTTTACAGATGATTATTTTCAAAGCACAACATAAGCTGTTTTTTTTTATAAAAAAAAAGTGACAGTCATCCCAAACTAGCCCTAAGTCGATGAGTTTGAGTGCTAGCAACATTGATTAAGGAATTTAGCAACAACAAAAACAAAAAAAAAGTAAATAGAGGGGTATATGTAATACAACTTTATTTAGATTTCAATAATATTCAACAAATGACAAAGAATCACAACTCAACACTTTGATCTAACAATGGTGATGATTTGCTTTATTTTGATGTTCAGATTGATGCTGGTCTAATGTTATTTGTCCACATACTTATTTGTTTTGTGTTTCGTGAAGTTAATGTTGTGGTTTATAAATTAGCTTATTTTGTTTTATCTTTCACTGAAGCATATCCCTTCGTGTTATATATGAAGTCATTCCTGATATTATTCAGGACTCAATGCAATTTTGGAAGTTTCCACTAAAATCGCTTATCCTTCAACTAATAGTAATCACTTTGATCTAATAATAGGGTTGAAATGAAATACATGAACAATTTTTATAAATAAAAAAAAATTAGTGATGTAGAGGTTTGAAGAAAGCCAATACACCAACAAAAGGAGCATTGATGTACGTGGTCGGCTCTGATTGGGGAGCATCAAATCGAGAGTCTTTGAAGGTATCATCCTCAGCAGGCCCTCCCACGATAGCGCCAGTGAGCACGTTCTGGTTAGGATCGTGGCCGTTGAAGTAGGAGTATCCCACGTGGCAGTCGATGTGCTGTGGGTGCTTAGCCACGCTGGGCAACACGGAACCACGATGATGTACGTTCTTAGGAAACTTTTGCCCAAATCCCACCATGTATGACATGCCCAATGGGTTGCTTCCTAGTATATAATCAACCTGCATTTACATTAATTACTAATTAAATTTAAACAACCGGTTTTCATTGTAATTTAATCCACCCATTTAATTAGAATGTATAATTAATATTTGAATATATGTACCTGTCCTCTGGTGAAACTCACTATCCTAGCTGGAGTGACATGAACATTGTTGCCACAATCGACAACCTTGTTGGCAAGTTTCATGTAGCGACCATAAACTAGAAGAAGAAATGATATGGACGTTGCATGTTGCAAGTTACTTCCTCCAGGTTTAAACAACAGCCCACCTAATAATTAAAACCGAAAAACATAAAAAAAAAAAAAAAGAGTTTTTTTGTGTAAACATGCGATCTAAATTCATCGTATGTCTAAATATTATGTTCAAAGAATAACTACCTCGTGAGTATGAGACCGATTTGGGGGCAGGTGATTCAGGCAAAATGGAGCATATGAATTGATCGGCTTTGGGAACGAAGGGATTAGAATTGTGGGGATCTTTCATTACCCACTGCAAACAAATGAAAGCTTAATTTAATTAGGTGGAGCGTAATTGAGGTTGAGTTCAAGAATGTTAATTAGAAAAAGAGAGTCTTACTTGAGAAACAAGTATGTTAATACCGGCATGCTTTGCATCCCATCCAAATTCAGTGATGCTACCACCTTGAGATGATGGAACAGGGTTCCCATTCACATTTCTTACAACAATATTATTGTACTCCAAATAGTTTATGTTGTTTTTGACGTAGTTCCAATAACTAGGGGCCTTAGTTGCCTTGTATAACCATGAAGCTCCCCAAATCAATTCATCCTGCAACACACACAGAAAACATATATATTAAACTTGGGAATTAAGGTTAGTGATGCTACGAGAAAGCCAACTTTTATCTTAATTTTTCGATATCAACTGATGTAACACATAACATACCATGTATCCGTTGAAATCACAATAGAAAGGGCAGACTCCTGCCGCAATACTATCATTGTAAGATCCCCTGTACTTGTCTGCAAATTCAAACACCTAAACATCCAACAAAGAAAAACCCATATTAACCTAAAAGTTAAATATATGAAAAGAAAGAAAATATATATACACACACCTGCATAGCTCTTCTTAGAAGTAAAGCGGCGTATGCCCTGTCTGAGTGTCTAAACACCATGGAAGAAGCTGCAAGTGCAGCTGCAATTTCAGCCGAAACTTCTGAACCGGGCTTTTGTTTATTGACTACATAAGAGGTTCGAGGGGTGTCCATGTCTTCTGGCCTTTGCCAACAATTGTGATCGGCATTTGGGTCACCAACTGCACCAACAACAGAATCAGGAACTCTGGTGGCTTTAAGCAAATAATCAGTCCCCCATCTTATGGCTTCCAGAGCATGTTGAAGCTCCGGCCCCATTAATTGCCCGAACTCGATAACGCTCCACGACAGCATTGTTGTTGTGAAGGCCATAGGAAAGTTGAACTTCACGTTGTCACCCGCGTCATAATATCCCCCTACCAGATCCCTCTGAGGAGAAATACTTGTCAATGTTATACAATATCCAGTCTATAAAGTGTGGTCTATGTAACATTTGGTTTTTCATAATGGTATTTGCTTGAACATTAAAGTAGTATAATTGATGAATATTATTAATTAATTATCACTTATAGGGTGCAAATCCAGTTTTAAGATATGGACATTATTTACTATCGCTCTTTTATTATATATATAAAAAAAAAAGATATGAACATTATTGTGCATGACAGGGCTGTTACAAGTGAAAAGTAATGTAAAATTAAGCAAGTCTTAGGGTTTAGTCCATGTGGCAAGTGAGAGTGGAGGAAAAAGTTCGGTCTTGGACAAGGAGGGGTTGACTTATTAGATTGTACATGGGGATAGTAACACTCTATGACGGCATTTACAATTTCAAACAAAAATTTCTGAGAAATTAATCAAGTGTTAAACCGCACGATATAGAGTTTCACGGTAGAAAGAAGTCAAAATTATATGTTAATTTAGAGAGAGAGAGAGAGGGTGACTCACATGAACATCAAAGCCATCACGTAGGGCAGAACTTTTCCTCCAAGTCATACGTTGGGAAGGTGGTAATCTTCCAGACCTCTGCCCCTCAAAGAACAAGATGCTCTTGGACAAGGCATCGGCGTAGTCAAAACGTGAAGAAGCAGCGGTTGTACCGGCTGTTGCCATTACCGAAATCCCGGCTGCTGCTAATATCAAAAGGGAAATATTGATACTACACATGATTATGTTCCTCATTCTCTCTTGCTAATTAGACAGATAGTACTAATTATAATATGTTTAATCAGGATTATGCATGCTTTTGTCTTGTGTCCAAGATCACTACATATATATAGTGTGGTCATGCAATGTCCCTTAGGGTTATTTTTTTGCTCAACCGTAACAAGGAAACAAAGGCCCAAAGAAGGTCTTAAGAATCCGTGTTCTAGGTTCCTATAGGCGGCCATATTCAGATTATGGCAATAACTAATTATTAAATACAAAACGTAATAAAACTTTATTACGAATGACTTAATCACATTTAAGACATTCCAGAATTGCCTAAGCTTGAGGTGGATATCATTGTGCCTGGTAGTTTATTCCAAGAACAAATAGGGATTTATTTTCTTTCCTTTTCCGGTATTAATTTAATTTTGTTTATTTCCTTTTCCGTGGATTTCCTATTAGGTTAGGGGCAAATTTAATTGTGTTTGCTCTGGGGTTAAAAGTGTGGCACCAGGAAAATCTTAAATCAATCATTTATATTAGATCAATCCTGGTTTTGAGGGGATGTGATTACGGATTTTGAGGTGGAGTCCACTTATTTTTTCATTTCTGATTGCAAGTAAACACAAGAGAATTCAGGAATGAAAATCATTCCCTTTCCTCCCATACCCATTATTGATACATAAACATGCCCTAAAAGTGTTTGATTCTTAAAAGGACGATATATCTATTCTCTCTAGGGTTTGCTCTGGTTCCAGTGCTTCCTAGGAGAGTCCCCTTACCACCGTCACACACTTCTCTGACGTCTCCCTGTATGCTCCGGCGAGGGTTGCTTATAGGGGTCAGTTCTTTCTGGAGGTGGCTTACAGAGGGGTGGGACGAAGCTGGGCTAATTTTCCTCAAGATGGGGGAAGTGGTTTCTAGTTTAAAATTTTTTTTAGTCCCTAATATTTCTACTAAAAAATTTGCCACTAACCTTAATAACATTGACTAAAATTTCTTTCCTCAATTTGAAGATATTTTTTTGACATTGATTTAATGTACCTACAATTGTGCTCACCTCTCTGACTTTTTACCGTAATATGCATTTACCATTCATAATATCGCTTGTATAAAAATAAAATGAAAAAAAATCAACCCTTTACCCTTTTTTTTTACTTTGCAATTGCAAGTTATAAACAAAAGATAAATTGAAAGAAGACATGAAGAATTTATCAACAAGCTAACTAGCTACGACGGACGAGACTTAAAGTAAGCCAAGACCCCCACAAAAGGTGCATTGATGTACGTTGTTGGCTCAGACTGCACAAAATCCTCTCGAGAATCAGCGTACGAGTCTTTGATATCTGGTCCTCCAACAAGAGCCCCAATTAGCAAATTTGGGTTTGGGTTTTTGCTGTAATAATAATCGGTTCCACCTTTGCAGTCAATCTGTTTCGGATGTTGACCGACTGACGGTAAAGACGACCCACGGTGGTGAATTCTCTGAGGAAATTTTTTACCATATCCCACCATATACGACATGCCCAATGGGTTACTTCCTAGAATGTAATCTACCTGCATCGACCCGTCGGTCCAAATTTTTATTAATTAATGAGTATTTACGTAATTTTACAATATTCATTCCCGATAAGTAAACATGTTATAAAAGTATAAGTTACCTGGCCTTTTGCAAGTTTTACAAGTCTAGCAGGACTGGCAACAACATTGCCACAATGGACAACTCTACTGGATAGTTTCAAATAACGAGCATAAACAACTAGAAGAAATGACAGAGTTGTTGCATGCTGCATATTGCTTCCTCCAGGTTTAAATAAAAGCCCACCTGTTAATTTTAATTAATTAACATTATATTACCGCACCGATCATACTAATGGTGATTATTATTCAGTCATTAGAGAAGTAGCTACCTGGAGAATATGAGGCTGATATGGTTGGAGATTCAGGCAACAAGGTGCATATGAACTTGTCTGCATTTTGAATGAAAGGGGTAGAACCAGTACCAGACATTGACATGATCAACTGTTACAAAAACACGCAACGGATCGAATCGATCTCCATATTAGGCAAATGGGTTTTATTAATTAGAAGCAGATTAATGTGCTTAATCAGAATTAAGGAAATGTAAGTAGTACACTTACCTTCGAAACGAGTACGTTGATGCCTGCGTGCTTGGAATCCCATCCGAATTCTGCAAAGCTTCCACCAAGATATGAGACGCCGTTTATATATTTCACAGTAGCAGAACTTTCCAACTCGTTTATGTTTTGTAAAACATAGTTCCAGTAGATAGGTTGCTTAGTTGCCTTAAATAACCAGGCTGCTCCCCAAACCAATTCGTCCTGCATAGCAGAAATTGTCACATAACAAACACCAAATATTCTATCAAACATCTTGTTTTAGAAATTGGTAGTATGAGCATATTATGTGTACGTTACCTCATAGCCACTGAAATCACAATAAAATGGACAAACCCATGGTCCAAGGCTGTCATTATAGGATCCCTGGTATTTATCTGCAAAATCAAACACCTAGTCCATTGCACGAAATAAGCATAATGTAGCTCTATATATAGTTTGAAATAATTATTTAATCTCATAATGTGTCAGTTATTTAGTACCATTCTAGCTCTTTTGAGAAGCCTGGCAGAGTATTTTAAATCAATTGGTCTAAACACCATGGCAGAAGCTGCTAGTGCTGCTGCTATCTCAGCTGAAACTTCGGAGCCCGGGAACTGTTTGCTCACGGCAAAGGGTGTCCTAGGGGTGTCCATGTCCTCAGGCCTCTCCCAGCAATTGTGGTCACCGTAAGGGTCGCCAACTTGGACAAAGACAAAGCCAGGAATGCTTGTGGCTTTGAGAAAGTAGTCAGTGGCCCATCGGATGGCGTCCAGTGCATGTGGCAAGTCTGAGCTCATGCCCTTCCCAAACTCTAAAACGCTCCATGCCAGCATTGTTGTTGAGAATGCCATCGGAAAGTTGAACTTAACGTTGTCGCCAGCGTCGTAGTAGCCCCCTACCAAATCAACCTGGTCACACAAAAACACATTGATGGTTGGTCCATAATTAAGTTGTTCATAACCTTCAATTGAATCCCACTAATGACTAACTAAAAATCCCATTGATTACGATCAATGCAAATGGCTTCACATGTTTTGCGAGTACTTAAAAGAAAGAAAGAAAAAACTCGTTTATAAAAGGGTTCAAATGAGAAATGAGAAGCAAAGGTAAGTCACATTTATCGAACGCTCTTTCTCTATCCTAAGAAACAAAGTAGCGGTTTCAACTTTTTGCTAAATAAAATAACATTGAGAGCTCCTCTGTTTTTTTTTCATCTGAGTGCTCCTCCTCCTCTGTGTTTTACTGAAATGAATAGATTGAAATCTTGCCCAAAGTTTCATTCTTTAACCATTCTGACCCATGAAAAGGCAAAAAGAAATCCGATGAGCTAATGTTGTCACATCTAAATTATGAGATTTTTTTTCTGTATGGATTCTTTCTCATCCCAAATGACACCATCTGAAAGCGACTTGAAAAGTTTATGTTTGGTTCTTGTTGATGATAATGAAGATCCTAAAAAGTTCCAAATGATTTGTGTAATAATAAGAATCTGTAAAATTCAAGAACGAACCCACATAAACAAGAGAGAAAGAGAGACTTACACCAATCTCATAGCCATCACGAAGTGCAGAATCCTTCCTCCAAGTCATTCTCTGAGAAGAGGGTAACTTCCCCGACCTCTGGCCTTCAAAGAACAATATGCTCTTGCTCAAAGCATCTCCATAGTCATGTGACTGTGAACAAGCCACCCTGATCACCATTGCCGCCATAACCGCCACCACTAAACCTACTATCCTCTGAACTGCGCACATTCTCTCTCTATCTCTCTCAAAACCCACCACCTATTTGACACTACTTGTAACTTGTGACCCTCTCTCTCTATATTTGTGTGTGTGTGTGTATATATAGGGGCCTAAAAATATTATTGATAGTGAAAAAAGAGAAATGAAGAAAAGCAAGAGTAATAGTACGGATGGCTGCTGATCACTTAGGATGGAAGCGTGAGTTGCATTTACCAAGAAATGAAAGGGAAAAGAGAGAGAGAGAGAGAGAGAGAGAGAGAGAGAGAGTTTGTTGACAATTGACACAAACCAAGTCTTAACGAAGGGAGGCATTTCCGGGGCATCCGAGTGAGGCGGTGAATGAATCTTGTATATTTGTTTGGGTTACATATTGACGGCTCTTGTGTGCAAAACTACCCACTTGGATTGGATTATACTTGTAACTTCTTTGACCAGCTATTTTGAATTCTTTGATAGGTTTTCCTTTGATATGTTATCCCTAATCAAGTGGGGGATAATGTGGAATGTTTCTCATACATTTTCACTTCATTTCAAGCACACTCAAACGCCTTAGAAGTACGAATGGCAACCTCATTAATAAATGGCAAAGCCAATGTGTGACATAAATTGTTTAAGGAAACCCAATTATTATTGGAGTAAACATATGTTCTTATCATATTGATTAAGAAGTAAAACAGCTGATTAGGGTTTTTGTTTTGTGGGTTTGAATTTAGGGAAAGAATAATCGCTTATTTTGACCGAACAAGCGATAGTACTTTATTCAATCAATTGAAAAAGTACAGAGAGAGTTATCTCGATTAGCAATACAACATACATGAATAACGCTTATTAAGAAGGAGTTAATTGATTCTTCTCCCCAAAAAGCCAAAAGCATGAACCTGCAAATGAATTTGACGCCAAAAATAAAGGTGAAGTCAACATATAGAAACACACCTTTACTTGAGGTGGCAGATTGGGGAAGATTAAGAGGGCAGTAACACTATAGCCTCCAAGATTTCTTCACAATCCAAACAAATAATTTGTAGAAATCACAAAAAAACGACTTTTTTTTTTCGATGTATAGGAGTTGAAATTTTTTGCGGTTTATTGAATTGAACTAATGAAAAAGCTACCCAATATCTTGTCTGTTTGGTGATTCTGTGGACACTCAGTTTTAGTCTCTGGACACCCAAGAATATTGTTTTTCAAAGCCCAAATCCAATCAGCAATGAGCCCCGATTTCATATAAGGCGGGGCCAACCCAAAACCAACCCGTTGGGACCCGCCAAATCTAATTCCACGTGTTTGCGTCAGCGATTCTCCGTACAGGTTCAGCACCACTGCATCTACGGTCATGACCACATGTACCGTCGTCATTTTATGAATTTGGAAAAAGAAAATGAACGAAAATCTCAAGTCAAAAGGGGTCAAGCTCATGCCTTTGTTGTGAACTTGTGAGAAATGCTCTGAAAACGGAAAATCAGCTTCCCAAAACCCTTCCACTGGCTGTGGCCGTGGGCTATTCGTTTCCAAGGTTCCAATGTCGACGAAGAAGCTCCACCACAACTGCGACCTCCCTGAAGAAATTATAGTCCAAATTTTGTGCCGGTTGCCAATAAAACCTCTGATTCGATTCAGTTCCGTTTCGGAACGGTGGCGTTCTCTCATAACAGCCGACCCACAGTTTGCCCAATCCCACTTCAAGCTAGCCTCCGATCGCAAAACCCTCACCCAGAGACTCCTCATCTCCACCAACTATGAACTCCGATCCTTGGACCCGGAAACACCGTCGTTCGCAGACAACGATTCTTCGCTCAGTAATATCACCTTCCACACCTATAGCAACCTACTGGGCTCCTGTAATGGTTTGGTATTTGTAGATGTTGATGGTTATGAAAATCATAGCTTGTCTCTCTGGAACCCGTCAACCAGATTTGATCGCGAATTGCCTGACCCATATTTTGTGTCTGTGGCGAATACAGAAGACGTTAGATCTGAATTTGACCGTACTGGCCTGGGTTATGTGTCATCCACTGACGACTACAAAATTTTCATAGATGCTTATGTTTATTCTACACCTTTCCAGAAATTTATGGAGATTTTCTCATCCAAATTGAACTCTTGGAAACGCATTCAAGTCCGTGGGAACGACCCACCGTGCTCTTTCAGAAGCCCCACCAACACTAGCTTGGGGGCCCTTACAAATGAAGCACTGCATTGGTTCTACCCCAAAGTCGGTGAGGAGGAGCCAACGATCCTTGCTTTTGATCTGGCAAAGGAGGAATTCAGGGAAGTTCCATTCCCCACTTTTGATGGTGATGCCGATGACATTGATGTTAATCAGATGGGGGTTCAAGTAGTTTCAAGAGGAGGAGCAGGAGAATGCCTGTGTGTTTCGATTACTAGGAGACGTGGTGGTGTTAATTTGATGGAATTCTGGGTTATGAGAGAATATGGGGTGCGTGAATCTTGGAATGTGCTCTTTAAATTTAACACGAATGATGTATCTAAATCGTTGGGTGGGAATTTGCTCGGTTATGAAGCCTGTTTCGTTACTGAAGGTGGTACAGTTATATTCAGGCTGAGGTGGGATAGGGACATAGTGGTGAGGATTGAATGCCACGGAGAAGCGGAGCCGGTTTGCAGTACCCCATTTAACGTTAATGATGGGGATGGGGCAGTGTATGACGTGATTAAATACAATGAGACTCTGCTTTCAGTACCTAACTAACCATGGAGAGGACTCTGGTAATTTGGATTTTGGTGCTTAATTTGGAGAGCTTATTATTGTCTGTCCGTATGTTTGTTTTGTTTCTGTCACATCTCTGTACTCTGTGTGTTGCTTGTATTGAGTTGCCAAAATGTTCAAATATGAAGTCTTGTTGTTGTTCCTGTCATCAATCTTGCATGAAGCTGATTTTTCTTAGTTGAATTGCTGATGGATGGTAAAAGCATTGTGATGTTTCTAATGGTTTTCCTGCCTTCATCATGTATTTGAATTTGAGAACATGCCGACAGACCCCTTGTCGATTGTGCATTTCTGAATTTTGATCATACAAGCTTTCTTTTCTTTTAATTGAAGGCCATTGATGATGAAAATATTCCCAATTCATGTGATGTGAGCACAGAAGAAGGTGGCAAATAAGAGAGAGTGGGAACTTTGAGTAAGGCTCAAGTTCTTCATCCTGTAGGGAAAAAACAGAGTTGCCTTGTTCTGCAAGGGTGGTGGATGGAGGACATATTAGGATGAAATAGAAGGTGATTGTGTTAATAAACAACAGCCTGGTTTGAAAATTTAGTCTGAACAAATGTTCTCTGATATAGTATGGTGTGTCTGCTTGTTTCAGTATCATATGTACTCTGCTCAGTATAAATCCTTTATTTTTGTTCCATCTTAGTAGTTTGGTTTTGAATTTTTTTTTTTTTTTTTCTACATTAGGGGCAGCTTAAACAATGAACATTTTTAGTTGAGGTGAAGAGTGTGTTGTAAGTTGTAAGAAGGACGAATGAACATTAGAACATATATTTTAAATCAATTTAACCGAAGATATCTCTTATAATAACCAAAGCAAAAACAGAAAACGAAGTTTAAAGGAGAATGAAAATGGCATCTCTTTTGCTCGGAAGCAGGACAAGTTGAAAATGCAATATGAATGGCAACCTCAATGATAACAAAATGAATGTGAGACATAAATTTTTTAAGGAAACCCAACCCAACCCAACTATTATTGGAGTACAATACTTGTTCTTATCGTATTGATTAAAAGTAAAAAATCAGACCAAAAAACAAGATTAAGAAGTAAAAAACTGATTCTGTTTTTTGTTTTGTGGGTTTTAATTTAGGGAAAGAATAACACTTATTAAGAAGAAATTAATTGATTCTTCTCCCCAAAAAACCAAAAGCATGAACATGGAAATGATTTTGAAGCCAAGAACTAGACTTATAAATAGGCTTGCAATAAAGGAATGGCAACCTCTTTCATAGTCATAACAAAGTCAATGTGAATACATGTTTTTTATATACAAGCGATCTTTTACTTTAATCTAATCTAAACTACGGGGATGGGGATTCGAATCCGTTTGTAAATGCTGTGATTTCATTGTAGTTAAGAGTTAATTTGTTTGTGTCATCACTAGAGCATATCTCATCTACAAATTTCAAGTCTCAGCAATTGAAACTGATACTAAGCCTTTGAGATGCCCTTCTTTTGCGAACTTGTCACTTTGGCAAATATTGGTACCTTTGAAACTGATCCCCACTTGAAAATCATAATGACCATGCATCCCATGATCGGATGCAGTAAATGGGTGTCTTGATAAATGTTTTTCGGTTGAGGGTGGTGATCGTAGGTTTCTTAATGGGTGTCAAACGGATTGTGGTAGGAGACAGGTAGTGACACAAAAAACCCATAAATGACGCAACTTGATAATTTCGTGAACCTCATTGACATTTTGTGATAATAAGAACCTTACGTATATTTCTTGCACAGTAATTAAAGTTAAAAGATTTTCTGTTTTTCTTTGGGACTGAATTAAATTTCAACCATTTGACTTAACATATATTATGATTTTCAACATTGAGTTTAGGCATAACAACCTCTTAGGTATCATATACATAAAAGTTAGGTATTAAAAATCAAACCTTGATGAAAACTCAATTAGATTGAAATTTACAAACAAAAAGAAGATTTAAAGTTAGAGCCTTTAAACTGACAAAAAAAAAAAAAGTTAGAGCCTTTGAAAAACCTGTCATCTTCTATCTTCCATGTGTGCAGGTTGTTCATGCTTGCTGCCACTTTCACTATGGCTTGGACTTGTATGATTAGACCCATTGGTCACACTAGTTTCCCCAATATTATTCCCATCTCTCCTTTCTTCAATTACCTCTGCACCACCGTGACTACCACCACTACTAATTTCACCATCAACAACACTACTCTTATACCCACCATCATCACTCTCCTTTTGATCACCACCACAACTCTCGTTAACCAAAACAAGAGCCAAGTAAAGAGCTCCATTAACTCGAAACGACCAAACTTGAACAAGATCTTTTTCTTTCAGATGGTTTCGCTTAGCAACATCACTCCACTGAGTTCTCAACACATAGATTTTGCTGTTTTTCCCATTCTTCTTTTTCATGTTCCACCGTCTCAAGTTTATGTCTCCTTGTACAAGACCAGGGTCTATCAGTTGAACCTTCATTGTCTCCTCTTTCTCAAGCCTACCTCTCTCATCTTCTTCCAAGAAATCAGTCGACGAGATTTGGTTCAGAGGCATTGACATCCTGTTACCACTTTTACTTAGATCAGTTTCCCTCAGTTTTTTCTGTATCACCAAAGCCACTTTAGTCCCACCCAAACTGTCAATTTTTCTCTTAAATGCTTCAGGCAAGTCATGATGAGCTGATGAGGAAAGACTACTTAGTTCTTTTCTCTTCGGAGTGATCTTGTTGATCGAACCGGTGCCTTTATTGGCATTTTTCTTCTTCTTCGACATCATCATCTTTTGCTTCTTGCTTTCAACAGGCGGCCAATTAGTACTATCATCATCATCATCATCTCTTCTCTGGAATTTTCTTTTCAAAGAATTAGTCTTTCTCGCAGAAGCAATAGCAGAGTGCATAAGCTTTGGTCCATTAGATGATCTTTGTTTCTTTGGCTCTATTAGTGCAGGCTTCTTGAGTGCCTTTTCCGTCATCAAACGTTCTCTCTTGGACTTAGACGACACCATGGATGGGGCAACTGGGTGTGCAGCCTCAGCAATTTCAGATTCTCTCTCTGCTGCTGCACAATTTGGTTCTTTGTTGATGTTACTCTTTTGCTTCAAAAGGTATTCCTGCATATATTTCTCAGTATCAAACCTAACAATCTCAAGCAACCAACCCATATTAGTCAACTTGCGATTGAACATGCCATCAAAGTCGCTGTCACTGCTTGAATACCACCCCATTTGGTCTTCTTCTTCTTTGTGCTCGTCCACTTGAGAGATTGAAAGATTGAACGAGAATATAATGCAAGAAAGCAAATTGTGTTGTCAAAACGGCACAGAAGTTAGGATTTTATAGAGTGTGTACACTGTACACTAGTCAATGTCTGATTAGGAAACCTATTGAATACATACTTGACCTTCAAGTAATAGGACACAAACAATGTTTCCCAATCCTTTAAACCCGAAAATATATATATATATGAGATTTGCTATTCACGTGCTTCTCTATTTCCAAACTCGTGGGTGGCTTTAGAGAGAGAGTTTGATTTTTGTGTTGCTTGTTGTGAATAGCAAACTCGTATATATGTATCAATATAGGAAACAAACTGCTTGGCCAAAAAGAAAAGGAAAGAATTGAAGCTTTGATTTACCAGTTTTTTAGTTTAGTTATATTTTTATATTTATTAAAAGAAATTATTATTTATTTAATTGTTTGTCCATGTGGCACAAATCCAGTGTGTCAAAGTCATGCCACGTCATTAATTCCAAGCTCATTGACCGCCACATCATGGGTTAATGGAGAGCTTGACAGAAATATTAACGGATGTATGAAATTGATAGTAAAAGTAAACGTTGGGAATGAAAGTGAGAAGAAAAAAACTTTGTGTAGCAAAGTGTTAATCTCAGGAAACTTACGAATAGTAAATTGGTAGTAAGTGTACTCAGTTAATTTTAATGTTCGATTAACATCGCCCTTATTTTCTCTTTCTTTCTTTCTACTAACCACTATGCATGTGCGTAAAGCGCGTGTGGCAATAGTAACACAGAAACATAAAATAATCAATACCATCATAAATAGAACACAATGAAACATAATAAATAATAGAAAATTAATCCTTCAAATATCCTGTTCTGTGACAAAAAGAATGAGGCATATTAAACCAAATGACAAGTTAATTATCCGTGATTCTACGGAAGTTATAATTCCTTTTCCGTGATTCTACGGACACTCAATTTTAGTCTCTGGACACCCAAAGCAAATTCCCTATTTTTAAGTCCAATCGGCAATGTAGACCCGCCAAATCTAATTCCACGTGTTGGCCTCAGCGATTCTCCGTACAGGTTCAGCACCACTGCATCTACGGTCTTGAGCACCTGTACGGTCGTCATTTTATGAATTTGGAAAAAGAAAATGAACGAAAATCTCAAGTCAAAAGGGGTCAAGCTCATGCCTTTGTTGTGAACTTGTGAGAAATGCTCTGAAAACAGAAAATCAGTTTCCCAAAACCCTTCCAGTGGCTGTGGCTGTGGGCTATTCGTTTCCAGGGTTCCAATGTCGACGAAGAAGCTCCACCACAACCGTCACCTCCCTGAAGAAATTATAGTCCAAATTTTGTGCTGGTTGCCGATAAAACCTCTGATTCGATTCAGTTCCGTTTCGAAACGGTGGCATTATCTCATAATTAAGGACCCACAGTTTGCCCAATCCCACTTCAAGCTAGCCTCCGATCGCAAAACCCTCACCCAGAGACTCCTCATCTCCACCGACTATCAACTCCGATCCTTGGACCCGGAAACGCCGTCGTTCGTAGACAACGATTCTTCGCTCCATAATCTCACCTTCCGCCACTTTAGCAACCTACTGGGCTGCTGTAATGGTTTGGTATGTGTAGATGTTGATGGTTATGAAAAACATGACTTGTCTCTCTGGAACCCATCAACCGGCTTCAAACACGAATTGCCCGACTCAGATTTTGTATGTGCAGTGAAAATCATGTCTTATTTCGCTGAATCTGATTTTGGCCGTTCTGGCCTGGGTTATGTGTCATCCACTGACGACTACAAAATCTTCATAGATGCTAATGTTTATTCTAAACCTTCCCAGACGTTTATGGAGATTTACTCATCCAGATTGAACTCTTGGAAACCCATTCAAGTCCGTGGGCACGACCCATCGTGCTCTTTCAGAAGCCCCACCACTAGCTGGGGGCCCCTTACAAATGAAGCATTGCATTGGTTCTACCGCAAAGTCGGTGAGGAGGAGCCAACGATCCTTGCTTTTGATCTGGCAAAGGAGGAGTTCAGGGAAGTTCCATTCCCCACTTTTGATGGTGATGCCAATGACATTGATGTTAATGATATGGGGGTTCAAGTAGTTTCAAGAGGAGGAGGAGGAGGAGAATGCCTCTGTGTTTCGATTACTAGGAGACGTGGTGGTGTTAATTTGATGGAATTCTGGGTTATGAGAGAATATGGGGTGCGTGAATCTTGGACTATACTCTTTAAATTTAACACGGATCATGTTTCTGAATCGTTGGGTGGGAATTTGCACGGTTATGAAGCCATTTTCGTTACAGTTATATTCAGGTTGAGGGACAGGGACAGGTTGGTAAGGATTGAATGCCGCAGAGATGCGGAGCCGGTTTGCAGTACCCCATTTAACGTTAATGATGGGGATGGACCAGTGTACAACGTGATTGCATACAATGAAACTCTGTTTTCGGTACCTAAACTCGGGTAATTTGGATTTTGATGCTTAATTTGGATTTTGATGCCTAAACTCTGGTAATGGGGATGGACCAGTTATATTATTGTCTCTCCTTCTGTTTGTTTTGTTTCTGTCACATGTTTATGTTTTGTGGTTGTTGTATTGACTTAAGTTGCCCAAAGGATCAAATATGAAGCATTGTTGTTGTTCCTGTCATCAATCTTGCATGAAGCAGATTTTTGTAAGTTGAATAGCTGATGGATGGTAAAAGCATTGTGATATTCCTGTGATGTTTCTAATGGTGTGCCTGCCTTCATCATGTATTTGAATTTGAGAACATGCCAACAGACCCCTTGTCGATTGTACATTTCTGAATTTTGATCATACAAGCTTTCTTTTCTTTTAATTGAAGGCCATTGATGATGAAAAAATTTCCAATTCTTGTGATGTGAGCACAGAAGAAGGTGGCAAATAAGAGAGAGTGGGAACTTTGAGTAAGGCCCAAGTTCTTCATCCTGTAGGAAAAAACAGAGTTGCCTTGTTCTGCAAGGTTGGTGGATGGAGGACATATTAGGATGAAATAAAAGGGAGATTTTGTAAATAAACAACAGCCTGGTTTGAAAATTTAGTCTGAACAAAAGGCCTTGATGAAAACAAATGTTATCTGATATAGTATGGTGTGTCTGCTTGTTTCAGTATCATTTGTACTCTAGTTAGTATAAATCCTTTATTTTTGTTCCGTCTTAGTAGTTTTCGTATGATATTTTTCTTCATCAAATGGCCTTGATGAAGAAATGAATTGTATTTTGTTTCGGTCTCTTCTCTCTGTGTTGTGTGTGTTGGTATTGAGAAATTATCAAATATGAAGCATTGTTGTTGTTCCAACCAACTTCCTCATATATTATTCTTGCAGGTTGCATGAAATGAATGAAGCAGATGTTTCTTAGTTGAATTGCTGATGCTGAGCTGCTGTCTTTGGCTTAGCTTTTACTTACCCAGTCAAGAGTGGTTTGTTTGTAGGCTTGTGTTTTGTTTCTCCTTCATGAATTTGAATTTGAATTTGAATTTGAGAACATGCCAACCCCAACTTTTGATTTACAATCATACCAGCTTTCTTTTGTTTTAACTTTTAATTGAAGGCTTGGTGTTTGCAAATATGAGAGTGGGAACTTTGAATGAGGCTCAAGTTGTTCTACTTGCAGGAAAAACCAGACTCAGAATGTGATTGTTTTAGGAAGACTCTTTTCATCTGTTGTGGTATGGTTGAAATTTGTGCAATGCGACATGAGTTTGGTGTGGGTTGTGCTGCCCAATTTATTTTCTGTCCTCATGGGCATGGCCCAACTTTTTAAAATCATCCATGAGTTAGTTGAAATTGGGCTTAGAAACACGCACCTCTTTTGTTTTGTTTGGCACCAACCCAAGCCAAGTTGAAATTGCAAATGGAAACTTACTCTTGTGTATTTCATCTCTCATCCAATAGATGAATAGAATGTAGATGTTCAATCTCCTTAAGGATTAATTGGGCAAAAGTTGAATGAGTCTTTAGGCTAAGCCTCTTTCTACTTAATTCATCGTTGAATTTGAAGCAACCAATCAAGTGGCACATGGGGTAACCCTAGACTTTAGGGGCAGGGTATTGGACATTGAGTGCCTAGTAATACAAGAAATTGTTACTTTGAACGTACATGATCAAACTCCCATTCTTATATTAATTTCGTACTACATTGTAACATGCAGTACGGAGCATGTTATATGTTTTTCAATTAGGCACTTCTTTAATTAAATGCCGCCCTGTATAAAGTCACAGGGATTGACCAATTACATGTCGACAGAGGGGCATATGCATATATCTCATCACACAATCATATATACCTACATCTGATTTTCTTGGTCCGAAACCGTTAATAAGTTGTTGAGAAATTCAAGCAATCATGACTGCCGATTTCTTTTTAATTACCACAAGCACAACAAAGAGAGTGAGTATGTTTTTCATTTGGGTCGGGTGTTGAGAGCCTTTTTAACATTGAAAAGAGAAATACTACTAAACGAGAATGGAATAGAACAGTAAGACTTAGGCACCTCAATAATTCAATATACAATATCGTCCTTAGCTCTCAATACTAAGATCCGAAATATGTAGTTAACATGCAAGTTGCTTCATCCGTGATGTATTTAAAAGAAATTATAATATTATCATTTGCACTCAATTCTACGTAAAGCCAACATGGTATATCTTGTGTTGCAATCTTACTCATCATGCATTTACACACATCTTGCCTCCCATCTTTTATATGTCAAACAAGCCAGCCTATCTATCTAACACCCCACTCCCCCATACATCTTCCTTCTCCTACCCACATAAAAGATAAATAATCCCTCAAGATATGACCCTCAAAACCCAAAACACATTCATTTCAAAGCTCATCAAACATGGCCACGAAACCAAGCCTACTTCTCTCCATACTCATTTTCTCTTTCATCTTCCAAACAGCTCTCTCAAGAAGCCATCACCACTCTAGCCGTATACGTACTTGGTGCCAGAAAACCCCCCACCCCGAGCCATGCAACTACTGCATGTCACATAGCCGTCACCGTCTCATTCCGAAACACACCTCCGAATTTCGAAAAATGTTGGTGCAAGTGGCCTTGGAGAGGGCTCTCAATGCAAAATCATACGCCTCCCAATTTGGCCAAAACTGTCAAAACAATCAACAAAAAGCCGCATGGGCCGATTGCTTGAAACTTTTCGAGGACACCGTCCACCAGCTCAACATTACCCTTGAAGGCTTAGGCACCAAACGCAATTGCTCCAACTTTGATGCACAGACTTGGCTCAGCGCTGCCCTCACCAACATTCACACGTGCCAAGTTGGGTCTATGGAGCTGAACGTTTCGGATTTCATAGCCCCTATATACACCTCCAATAACAATGTGTCCGAGCTAATTAGCAACGGTTTGGCAATTGGTTCACAACTTTTAGGCACGGGAGAAAATTACGCAGATGAAGAGTATCCGAATTGGGTTTCAAAGCACGATCGGAGGCTGTTGCAAGCTTCAAAAATCAAGGCAAATCTTGTGGTTGCCAAAGATGGATCTGGGCATTTTCGGACGGTTCAAGCGGCCATAGATGCAGCGGCTAAGAGGAAAATAACTAGTAGGTTTATTATCTATGTGAAGAAAGGTGTTTATAGAGAGAACATTGAAGTTAGCAACACTAATAATAACATCATGCTGATTGGTGCTAGCATGAGATATACAATAATCACAGCTAGCCGAAGTGTCAATGGAGGTTCCACAACCTATAATTCCGCAACTGCTGGTACATATATATAACTTATAAGTTCTCTCCATCTCTAATTGTTTCCCTAATTTGATTTAATTTCCAAAACTTGAGTAATTAACGTTTTCTTTTGTGGTTTGTTACAAAATGTGATTATTATAGGCATAGACGGTCCAGGCTTCATTGCTCGCGGCATCACATTTAGCAACACGGCCGGCCCACTAAAGGGCCAAGCCGTGGCGCTGCGGTCAGCCTCCGACCTCTCAGTCTTCTACCGGTGTGCCTTCCAAGGCTACCAAGACACCCTCATGGTGCACTCTCAGCGCCAATTCTACAGAGAATGTTACATATATGGCACCATAGACTTCATCTTTGGCAACGCAGCTGCAGTTTTCCAAAGTTGCATTATTTATGTGAGAAAGCCCTTGAAGGGCCAAGTCAATGTCATCACAGCCCAAGCCCGAAACGACCCATATCAAAACACTGCAATTTCAATCCATAATTCTCAAGTGCGGGCCGCTGCAGATCTGAA